GAGGGGGGGATGCAGGGCCGGGGAGCGTGCGGGCACCTCGCTTGCCGCCCGGTGGGAGCGGGGGAGAATCCTTGTTGATCCTTTACTCGGGGAATAGCGGTTTCTTTCTGATCTCAATGTGGGACGGTATTACAGTCTCCTGGCAGGTTTTATGCACCGCCTCTCTTGGGACTAACTTGTTCCTCTGCCTGTCCTGTCTGTAAAGCTGAGGCATTGTGTTTCCAAAGCACTGTGTGGTTTTGTACCAGCTCATGTGGATGTCAGGAGTCTTCCGCAGCCTCTAATCAATGTTTTCTGTTCTTTCCCGAGGGACTGGCTGCCTGGTAAAAGCAGTGGAGACGGCAGCCCAACGTGAGGCGTTCATCATAGGAAAGCCCAACCGGTACATGTTTGATTGCGTGGTGAGCGAGTTCAACATCGATCCCGCTCGTACCATCATGGTGGGAGATCGGCTGGACACAGACATCCTCATGGGCAATAGCTGTGGCCTCACGACTCTGCTGACGCTTACCGGGGTCACCACGCTGGATGAAGTGAAGGGCCACCAGGAGAGCGACTGTCCTGCCAGGCAGAGCCTGGTTCCCGATTACTATGTTGATAGCATAGCCGACCTTCTCCCTGCACTGGGGGATTAATATAGCAAAATGCTTGCAGCCTCTGCAGCGGTATCCCAAGGAGGGCCCCTGTTAATCACCTTGTGACAGTAATGTACTCACTAGGATACCACCTGGAGTTAGCAACCCTTAGCTTTTTAACCTTTCTGTCCTCTCGATATGATTTTGTTTACATCTCGGTCTTTTAATGCACTTTGAAACAAAGAGGGCATTACGGTGTCACCCACGTCTTGTGGGCTTTGGGCTTTTTTTTTAATTATAAGCAACACCTCTATTCAAATGTTTGCGATACACGATGTCACGTTGTCCTCTAGACTGAGTTGAGGAAAGTAGAGCTGGTTGATCTGAGGAAAAGAACCCCACATCTTACGGTGTGTCCTCGCCTGGACAGGCTGTGGCTCAGTCTGGTTTATTCAGGGAAAATACTCTTGGAGTGTGAAGTAACTTAGCGGCTGTGTTTGGAAATGCTTGCGGTGGTTGGCGCAATTAGCGTTTGCCCTTAGGTTGATTTTTTTTTTTTGTTGTTGTTGTTGTTGCAGATGGGGTCCTGTTTAGCAGTGCAGCCCACTGCAAGCGCAATGTCAGGTCACAGAAACTGAAATCTGTCTCCTTTATTTGACCGTTGCAAATTGCACTTGTGATGCAGATTAGGATGATTCCACTCACAGAAGACAAACGGTGTCTTCTGTATACTGTATTTGTCCAAGTGTTGGATGTATGTGTAAAATACATGTACATACAAGAACTACCCCGATCCTAAATATATATCAGAATATATTTAAAATATGAATTTAAGTATAGTATATGATAATATATCTTGTTTCCCAGAAGGGAGGATAAGAGGAATGTATTTCACTGATCACAGTAGGTTTAATTCTTCTAAGCTTTTGCATTTGGTAATGCAGAAAGTCTGTAACCACATAGGATGTCCTTCACTACTGCTGCTTCCCAGAAATAACTGGATTAGTACAGAGTTAGTTCTTGTACTTCCCTCAGCATCAAAACAGCCGCTTGCCTTGGCTTTAGCTGCAGAATCTGAATTAACACTCAGTCCACAGGGGATGGATGTAGTACACGGTACAGCTTTCCACCAAAATAAGCCTGTGAGCGCACTGGCTGTGTGTGACTATGGCACGTGCTTCCTTTAAATACCCGAGGTTAATATCTTCCACGTGTGTCTGGCGTGGGGGCCTGGCACCAGTTGCTTGTCAGAAGAGGAGTGCTTGCTTGCTCAGATGATGATTACACTTTGATCTGTAGGTGGGTTTGGGTGATGCACGGCTCAGGCAACCGGGTAGATTTTTGTGCTGGCTGAATCGAAGGCCACAGATGAAAGCTTCTGCATTACAGAATTAAGTGAAAAATTATATATGCAAATAACATGCTTTTATTCCATAGATTCCACTATCAGCAGATAAACTGAAACACTGGCCTTCCTTCATCTCCCACTGTTCAGCTGAACAGCTCTAGCAGTGTGTCGATGCCATTTTCTTCCACTCGGACACTCAAAACGAGTTCACTTGCCACCTTGTTTGTACAGCAATAACTGTGCAGTTCATACTGTCTTTCGGTGTTACCAGAATATTCGCTGATCTTGTAAAAGGGTGTTCCTTTGTAACTGGGGGTTGTGCATAATCTCTTCCCTGTTCCTGTCTCCAGCTAGAAGGCTTACGCAGTCACAGAGAAACACTTACAGATAGAACTTTCACGTTATCTAGGTAAGGTGGAAATGGACATTATGGGTTTACTGCAAGTAGGCTCTGAAAATGGTGTCTTCTTTGATTGAGTTCCCGTATCTGGTGCTTACAATTTCAGAATATGTCAAGTAAAGTAGTAAATGCCAGGAGAGGCCTTCAGCCTCTTCCACGCAGCGCACTGTCCCTGCCAAGCACTGTTCACTGTACAAGGGAACCATTACCTCGATTCACATATGCTGAAATGTACTGGTGAAGGTGTCAATCGTGCTTCAAAACTCTGTATCAACTTCCAAACGGTTTTTAAGCCTCTACTTGAATCCACATTAAACTTAGAAACCTGCTTTCCCCTGGCGTTGTCTTATTTTGTAGCCTTTTCCCTGTGAGCTTTGGTGCGGCTGTACTGTGTGGAAATCCCGGGAGTTAGGGATGCAGTTTGTGTGTATCACCTTTACTCCTTACGTGCAGTATCAGGGAAAGAAAGCCAAGCTCTGGAGTGTATTTCTTTGGTTCCCAAAGCTGTGCTGGGCTCTTAGCGTGGGCTGGGATTTGCTCCTTTGAGTAAGAGTGCAGCGCAGAGCAGAATGCTTTCCCCTTTGCAATAATCCTTTCACAAATAATGTTTTATAGAAAAGAGTTTTGCTTTGTTCCTGTGCTGTAGATTAGGCAGGCCATAAATTTCTTAAAGAAGGAAAAGGTCTGCTGCGTGGCCGTTAAAATCTCTATGGGGAGAACACCCTGTCTGCGCGTGGCCGTGAGTTTTTCAAATTTCTTGTGCTACGTCGGGCCACAGCAGAAGCCAGCTAGCAGGCTGCGCTGCGGGGAGCGCTGCCTCATCTCCGTAACACCTCGGTCTGCAGAAGCGGAACTGGGGCTTTGACTGTTCCAACGCTGTTGCTGTTCTCATCAGAGCCTCAGCACGGGACGCTGCAATCTTGCGTTCTCAGTTTTGCTGTTTTAGAGGAGTGACCGTGATGGTTGGTCGACTCTCGCTGGCCACAGCGTTCAGGTGTGTATTTGTCCGGAGTCTGAGTTCGTGTCCCACAGAAGCAGCGTGCTAGAATGAGATGGTGATCTTCTACTGAAACAGCTCATTTTTGACTCACAGAAGGAAAGAGGGTGAGCGGGGAGAGGGGTTGCTAGTGCTTTGTAGACAAGAAACTCCAGGATGAGCTGCTCTCTTGGTTGAGTTTGATTGGTCCTAGGCCATGTTTGATAGAAAAATGTCTAAAAGCTGTATTTTTCCTTGATAGATACCACGTGAAGGAATGCTGTTGAGCTTTTCCTTGCCTCCATTCAGTCAGTTACATCTGGCTGGCAGATCTCAAAACCGCAAAGCTCTCATGGGGGCTCCTGGACTACTCAGGAAAACCATGGTCTGGCGACCTGGGATCTCTGTTCTCCGTGGGGTGTTGCTCATCGCAGGACACAGGTGTTAGCACGAGTGCAGCTCAGGTTGTGGCGATGACTTTGTAGCAGAGACCCTTTTCCTCGGGGTCTGGACGAGGCGAGGGCCGTAGGTGGAACACAAGCGCGTCTGTGCAGCCAAGGCTCGCAGGGCAGCAGTCTGCAGGATAAACAGTTGGCTTCAGCCCACGGAGCTCCGGCAGCACAAAGTTCATGTTGAAATGTAGAAATAACTGATGACAAGGGCAGACTGCCACTTTTCTCTATTCATTGTATTTCTTAATGAGACTTACCCGGTCCCGCTCTTAGGGCCTGCCAGCAGGGAGGGCTGACACAAAGCCCCCGATTGTCCTCCACCTGTCCCCCTCCAGCCGGCTCGCAAGGTGAGCAGGAAGTGCGGTTTTATGCACTGACAGCATCGCTCGGCAGCCCTGGCTTTTACCCCCCCCTTTCCCTTCTCCTCTCCCCAGGTGGCAGCTCTAAGGTTTCACCCTCCCGTAGGTCTAAGTTGAGGAGCTCCTGGCTGGGCAGCCCTTTGGCTGCAAGGGACACGTATTTACGTTTTGCGGAGGCACGCTTAGGTTTCCCAGGCGCGCCTGGAGTCGGGGATCATGCACAGTCTGCGCGCTGTCAGGCGGCAGAGCTGCAGGAGCGAGGTCCTCGTCTGAAGTGGAGGATGGAGGGTAGGAACGGCACCGGCAATGCTGTCCCTGCAGTGAGTATCCCCAGTCCCCCAGCTGTCACAGAGAGAGTCCCCGCTCTGTGCTTGCTCGATTCCTCTTTTGAAGGGGCTGAGCTCCTGCCGTTCCCGTGGATCCTGGTAAGATTTTGTTGATCCCCAGCCTCAGCACCCTGCGGTTCTTTTTGTAAGGCAGCTGACTGCCAGCTGGATTTTCTTGTAAGTGCCCGGACTTACACGGCATAAACCGATTGTGTAACAAGGCAGGGCAGCGCCGTCAGGTCAGAGATGCCAAAGAGCCCTGGCTTCCACGCTGCAGAGCCACTTGGGATGCGTGAGCACACGTGAACTGCAGCCTGCCGAGGGACCGGAGTCGCTGGATTTCTTTATTTGCACCTTTCCCACCCGAGGGAATTTCGTTAGCTATTGAAAACCTGCCCGTTGCTGTCGGGCTTGGGCTCTATTGCGTTTGAATTGATAAGATTTCAGCTAAGCACAGTTTTAACTGTGTTAAGACCTGCTGTTTTTCTAGTGGAATATATCTGGAAGTTACGTATTACCTAAAAAGATCAGTAACTGACCCAGAGGCTTGAAGAGCCTGGGCAGCTGTAGCAAACCTAACCATGGGCATTTATTGAATTTCTCTATGTGCTTCAGAAGATTGAGAAACAGATTATTTTTTTAAGTGTGGTTGAAACTCTGTTATTGAAAGCACATTCTTTCTGCTTTGTAAAAAAATACTTTTATTTGCCATTAAGTTAAATTAAATTGTTTCAATATGAGAATTAAAGTGAATTTTAACCGAGCCGCTAGAAGCGCCGCGTGACTGCCAAGCCCTTTTGCTTCAAGTAACAGCTTGGTCTGCGTAGAAAACAACTTATCAAGAAAATAAAACACAACCAAATACACGGAGAGGCAAGGAAGCAAGATCACGGTGCACGGGGCCTGTTTCAAATGCTGATGGTTCTCCGGGGGATTTCTTCTATAAACCAAAATTAATTTAATTTGCTGCTAAAGCGCAGCAGCAGCCCCTGTTTGTGGAAAGCTTCCCGCACCAGCCCTTCCTTGGCGGGCGGGCGGCATTTGCACGCTTCCCTGGCCGCGGGAGGAAAGCGCTCAGCTGTGGGAGTGCTGGTTACCGGGATGTCGGATCTGAAACTCCATCACTGTGGGGTAAAAGTGACATTATTTGGGGGCTGCTGCGATGTTCTGGCAGTTCTGCACTCGAACCCCAGCAGTTTGCACAGTGATTTGTCGTGAGCGAGAAGTGCATTTTATGGTGAAGAATAACCAGCAGAAGGGTTAACTTTAACTCCTGTCCTTTTTCCTTCTTTTGCCTTGGCTCCCAGGACAGGAGGCTCCCAGCACACTTCACAGCTCCATCCAGGACGTTCTGGATCATCTTGTCCGTTGCCTTGTTTTTTGCAGTTGTTGGCATCAGCGTTGTGGGGGTTCTCAGCTTCTCCCCCAGCTCTGCCCAGGTAAGGGATCCCGATCCGGGCAGGAAACCTCTTCCTACCCGCAGCCCCGAATTGCGTCGGAAGCACTTGCCAGGAGGGGGGAACAGGCTGGGATCAGGGCCAGGTTTGGCCGGTCACCCCCGGGCAGGCAGCGGCAGCGCTGCAGGCAGCGAGCTGAGCAGCGCCTGTCTCACCCCTGCAACGCCCCTGCCAAAAACCGTTGCACAAATTAAAGGAATTTCAGTGCATCGTTTGTAAATATAGCCACAAGCTGGTATTTTGCTAAGCAGGCGCGTTCCAACCTGCGGCTGTGGCCTCCGAGACGAAGGGGGAGCGTGTCTGCTGCCAGAGAGCTGCGCTGGCGCGGGAGGCAGATCCCGGCCTCCCCCCATGCACGGCTGCGGTGGAGGCCGGCGAGTCCCCCCGGTCCTGTCCTCCAGCAGCACCCAGGCAGGGTGGGCGCCTTCAGCGTGAGGGCCACCGGCACCTCTCCCTGAGCCCTGCGTGATGGAGAGCAGTGCGCTTCCCAGATGTGCTCCCCTCCCTTGGGTCAGAGCTTGCTTCTCTCCGTTGCTAAATAACTCTGAGAAGCAACAGGGACCAGCGAAGGGTCTGGGTGGGGATGTCGGGGGAGGGAGATGCTGCGCACGAGCACTGAACAGCTGATGTTTGGTGCTGCCCTCCTTCTCTTTGTGCCCAGGCTGGCTCGCAGCTTGTCCGGCTGACGCTCCAGGGCCAGCAAGACCCGCTGAGGAACCAGACGGCTTTGGTGGACAAGTCCAGGAGCACTGTGACCTACTACATAACCTCGCAGACTAACCGCACCGCCGTGGTGCTGTATGACAGCAGGAACGTAAGTGTGTGGGGACAGTCACCTGCCTCGCTAGCGTGGGTGCGAGCAGAGGAGCCCCGGCTGCTGGGGTGGGAGCAGGAGGTGCCCTTCTCTGCACCTTTAGTTAGGAAAGATAACATAGGACAAAAGGAGGAACATACTTTTTTTGGCTCTAAAGACAGCTGCGGGTGCGTGCCGCTGCCTGCTGTACCAGGGCATGATCTGTCTTGCAGGGCTATGTGTGCTACAAGCCAGCGGAGCAGCACGCGTGCTACCTGAGAAGGATGGACGCCTGGGACCTCCAGACCCTACAGACATCTCTCAACGCGTCTGAGCAAAGAGTGAGTAGCTGCTGTGACTGTTCCCCAGGGTGGTTGAGCGGACAGGGGTGATGAATTGGGCTTTGCCCAGAGTCCCGGCTCGCTGAAGGCCCTTTCCTGCATGGGTTTGTGTTTGCAGCGCTGACTTCTGCACATCAGCATCCCACTTGTGCCTCAGTGAGGAGGGCACGGGCTCTCCCAGCTGGGGGGGGGGCGGCAGCAGCAGCCCCCTCTTCTGTCAGATTCTGCTCGGGGAAGGGCTGGCTTGGTGTCTTGCATAGGAGCAGAGCTCTGCCTTGCAGCGCTGGGCTCGGAGCGTGTGAGCTCAGAGCAGCAACTCCCGGTTTTACTGATACCTTACCTTGTGAGAACCAGCAGAGCTGCAGGCTGGGGAAGGGGGATACAACCCACAGAGGTGAATAGGAGGGCTCTCGCAGGACCCCGCTCCCACTGGATTCTGTTACCTGCTCAAAATTCTGGGGAACAAAAAACAAAGGGGGTTTGTTAGCAATTCACAGGGGAAAATGTTGGAGTAAATCATGTATACGGACCCTCCGAACAAAATGTTAATGGATGCGTGGGCAGGGGGCAGATTCTGTTTCAAGAAGACAGAGGGCCCCATTTTTTTGTGCCTCTACCATCTGCTCTCCGTTTCCTCGGGGGCTCCTGAGGGGTCCTTGTCCCTCGGCTGCCGCTCCCACCCAGCCGGAAAGCGATGGGCAGCGTTTAACCCAGAGCAATGTAGGAACACAGCACCCATAAGAGCGGACTACCAAATGGGATGCAAGGATCTGCCCTGCTCTGAGGCTCGTTAATGGAAGTAAACGAGTTGATGATGCCGAGGGGGCCAGCAGCCCAGTCGGTCATCGTACAGGACCCAGCATTGAGGAGCCTCAGCTCAGCCTTGTCCTGTCCCAGCCACCACGGGGCTGAAGGACACTGGTTTGCACCACACCCGGTGCTGGAGGCTCTGCCACTGTGCATGGAGAGAGGATGGGACAGCCGTGGGTCACTGTGGCTCTGATGCAGCTGAAGCCCGGGGGTGGCAGCGGCGCTGGGCAGGCAGGACGGATCAGACCGATGCTCCTCTGCCAGCAAGCGGTGGCTGTTGACGCCTGGCACAACGGGGTGTTTTAGCTCCAGGCCTGTGGACAAAACAGCCCAGCGAGGGACCCAGGAGGAACTGCGACCCCCTAGTTCCCAAGCTGCGAGGGGCTGCGGGCCGTCCCCACTCCAGCCTTTGCCCCTGGGGGGCTGCTCTGGCCACAGCGAGCAGCCCGGCAGCCTGGTGGGATGGGACAGCCATCGGAAGAAACCTGTCCTTACTGCTGGGGTAGAGACTGCTCCCTGGGTGCCTTGAGAGGGAGAGGTGGTCTGCGGGGCTGGAGGGCAGTGCCAGGAGGGGCAAAGTGCCTCAGGAGGAATTAACAGGGATGTTTCTTTCAGGCTGATCAGCTGCTACATCAGAATAACCAGACCAAGTACTACCGGGAGTTCCTGGGCATTCTGGCAGGGGAACAGGTGGACCCCAAAAGCCTGGGGGAGGCTGTCCAAGCCCTGTGCGAGCAGACGTCCATCTTCTGGGTCAGGAGAGGGGAGGGTAAGTTGTACAATGTCCCTTTGCACAAGAGGGAAGCACGATTGTTTCTAGTACATGTAAGACATCACCTAAGAGCAGCAGGCTCTGCTTCACAAAATCTGATGCACGGCCCGGGGTGGGCTGCCAAGGCTCAGGACAGGTGACCTCTCGTTCAAAATCAAACCATTGTTCCGCAATCACCCAGCGCTGGTTCATACTGGCTCGTTCCCGCACCCTGCGGGGAACTGCGGCGCTGGCTGGGACAGGCTCCGCACCCCCTTCCCTGGGCAGCACAGCCTGACTGCACGGCGCAACCACAACACAGAGCAGTCCCCTGCGACGCTGTCGGCTTAATAGTTGTCACCTTCATCTTCACCAAAAGCAGCCTGCCGAGCTCGCGTTCTGTTCTGTCTTACTCCAGCTTTAATGAGAAAGGTCATTCCCTGAGGCTTTCCACTTGTTTGGCTCCCCAGGGACTCGTAGCTGCGGGACTGCAAAGCATTCCTCTCACCCTGCTTCTGTCCTTGCTCATTTGGCAGGTCCGGGGAAGCAGCGGCTGATCTACCTTTGTATTGACATCTGTTTTCCAAGCAACATTTGTGTGTCTATCTGCTTTTATTACCTCCCTGAGTAAGTCTGGCAGCCGCGGATGTCCTCTCGCTGCCCTACATACTTGAACTGGATTCCTGAAAAGCCTCTGATTTCAACAAGGAAGGTAACATCTACAATATCCCCC